AAGTAAGTAAGTAAGTAAGGGCCCAATTCAACTGCCTCGAGTTTTTGACTGCGCACCGCTGAATGTGAGCACCATAGTATCGGCAGTGTCCCATAAGTAATGCTCCAAACAAACCAACAATAACAACAACTTATAAGACCTGTTCTTTGCTGCTGAGCCTCGCCCTCAACGTCCTAATAAGCAAGGTAGCTTTGCGTTGCGCTTCCTCCAATTGGTCGACTCGTGCAAGAAGTACATGAATTTCTCGCAAAAGTTTGTCAATTTTCTCCTAAAAAAACAGTTAGTTATCACTCTCGAACAGCTTTTCATTGGCGAACAAACTTGTGGTTGTCCTTGCAAGTTGGCCAGCCTTTCTATGCTCTTCGACTGAAATGGGAACTTTTGAGCAGTGTAAGTTTTGGAACTGATAACGACTCTCCCACCGTTGGTGGCTTCAACTCTTCGACTGTTGGCTGCGTTGAGTCGATTTCGATTGTTTCCTCCTTATCAATGGCCATGTCTTCGCCAGCGGAGGTACTGAAATGGCGAAATCAACAGAGGTGTCAGAATGTCGCGCTTGTCGGCCGATGATGCACGCACTCGACTGAAGTGGAGGGCTTCTCTACTTTCACTGCTTTCTCGCTGGACGATGGCGACTGCACTTTCTCCATGCTTTTCCACCTCAATAAACTCCCTTGTAAAATGGTACAAAAATCAATCTTCCAGAAAGAATACCTGAGTTTTGCTTTACGCATTTTCGTCGCTGCTGGCCGGAACTTCGCGTTAATGTTTTCGAACTCTTCGACCTCGGCGTCAACCTTTTTCCGTTGAAAGAACTAAATTTTCCGTGTACTTTTGAGATAGATAATCCGTCTCGGGCTAACCTTCATGCATTCTACTTCGAATGGTTACCCCTTTTATCACAGAGGAACGATTGGATGAAAAACACTGAACTGGAGAGGACCATATCTTACGAATATGTGAAATATATTTGGTTGTTAGTCACTAAAAAACAGTGCATTGTATCTGAGCTTCCCAGCCTATACTATTCTCCATTATGGTCGTCTCGTCCACGTAAGCACTACGACATTAAGTCGGCTATAATTTGCTCCCGAACCTAAGTTGTACCTACACTACCTACAGTAGTGTAGGTACAACTTAGGTTCGGGAGTACAGTTTTTCAGTTATTACAGTACCTAAGTTGCGAGGGTGACATTAGAGTTATATCGATCTAGGACCAAGGCCCTCGCTAATCAACACTTGTCTCAGTCCGGACGTTTGTCTTGTTTCGAAGACTACCTTCTCATTACCAGCTAAGAGTTCGCAGCGCTCAGCCGCTTGATTTTTTTAGACTAACCTCTTCGTCTTTTTTATTAATACCTGAAAAAAATCAAATTTAGCTGACGATTTTGGCAGATGATCATTGAAGGCAAGGCCCGGGATCAAATTCATGTGCCAATCCCGCACAAATGTGAAGGAGGGTTGTGGAGCAGATCGCAAACGGAGAAAAAAGGAAAAGAAATCATCAAAAACACCGAAAATAGGTGCTTAGGAAAGAGAATAACAGATCAAAATTGCGAGTCAGATAGGACATCGAACGATGGGCGGGCACTGACTTTTCCGGACAGAGAATGTTTCAAGTCCTAAGCGCCTAGTTCGTAACGACGCATTTATAGACGTGAAAGTGGCTCCACCACTTCAGTGGCGAACCGAGCATTTGTATCCAAGGGAGGGACTTCTTTAGTTAGACTGAGCCCGGACCTTGCCTTTAAGTTTGTCCTCACCATATTTCTTCCGTATTTCGCGGCGTTTTCTTTCGGACGCAGAAAGCTCCACAGCGGATGAACTCTCTTCTTCCTCCTCGCCCTACACATACACCTGACTTCGTTTCTGATCATGCTTTAATTAGCCAAAATAGCCAACGTTATGTATTTGAAGCTTAGTGGGCAACTCCTGTCGAAATTA